GGATGGGGGTGCTTTCTGGCTTTTCCTCCCAGGCTCACAGGGTGTGACAAGAGAAGAGGAAATGTGTTAGAGATGGGAGGACGGGTTTGGAGCCCCGCTGCCTGACTCCCCCAGCACTGCCCCTTGCAAGCTGTGTGACTTTGGGCTGATTACTTGACCTCTCAGTGCCTCCACATCCTCATGGGAAATGGGGATCATAGCAGAACTTTCCTCCCAGCACTGCCCAGGGGACTGAAGAGGGTGTGATGTGTTTGTGAGGTCATCTCGTCTTATTTTTGCTACGTATCAGCGGCGGCCAGCTCTTCACGGCACACCTCAGCCCTGACAGGGATCCCAGGGCAGCGGTCCCCACCCCGGCTGCCCCTGGAAAGACCCAGAGCCCATGTCCAGCCTGCACACGGGAGCTGCTCTCGGAATCTCTGAATGGTGCAGGGCACGGCTGGGGCAGCAACAGTCCCTAAAGCTTCCCGGGTGATTCTAAGCAACGGGCAGCCGGGACTGATAACCGCGACCCTAGGGGTCCTAGAGACCATCAAACCCCACAGCCGTGGTTCTCAAACTGGTCCCGCATCGCAGGCACCTAGGGGTCCTCTGAAAATGCAGCTTGCTGGGCCCCACCCCCAAAGGGGTTCTGTAGGTCTAGGGTGGGCCCGAGAAAGTGTATCTAGTTCCCAGGAGACGTTGACGCAGCTGGACCAGGACCTGACTTTGAGAACCGCTGTCCTGCAGGAAAGTCCGCTTTCCCCAGCCTGGCGTTCAAAGACCAGGGAGACCTGTCCCTTTAAGGCGCTGTGCCAGTGGCCAGAGCACCCCGAGCGCTGGGGAAGCGCCATGGTCCGCACGATTTTAAACGGCGGAACTGGGGTGCCCCCTGGTGGAATCAGCGGGCACCGCAACTCGCGCGGATTCTTCGCCCGCTCTGGAGTCGTAGGTTGTGGGGGCAACCGGAAGGGTCGTCGTCTGCGGCCCCTCTTCCCTCCTGGCAGTTCTAGGACGTGGCCACATTCCCAGGAGTCTGGGGATCGCTCATCTCCCGCTTAAGCAGGCGGAGGGGCCAAGACACGTTCAGCCTCTAGAGGAAATGATCTTGACCCCAGGATGCTTCGCGGTGGGATGGGGCGGGGGGAGGGGAAAAAGGGAAGGAGTGAGGGAGGGTCTGGGTCTGGACCCCAGGATACCTTGGCCTCACCCTCGTGGGGGGACCATTCTGTCCCTCCCATGGGACCGGGAGGGCCGATTTTTCGAGGGGGCCGTAGAGTAAGACAAACGTGGGTTGGAGCTCCCTTCCTTGCCTCTCTGAGCCTTGGTTTCTCTATCTGGGAAATGGGGGTAAAAACCTGCCTTCATCCTCTTCCCTCCTTCGTCCTGCCCTCCTCTCTACAGAGCTAAATAAAGACGCACATACATTCGAATGTGTCCACCCCCAGATCCACACAGACACACACACAGACACACACACACACACAGACACACACACACACACACACAAAACCTCAGCCTGCCAGTCACCCGGTCAGCTGAAATCACCCTCCTGAAAACTCTTCACCCACTTCCTGCCATCCCCACTACCCTGAGCCGGTCCAGCCTTAGGCCTGTCCGCCAGGTTCCTGCCCCAGCCTCCTGCCCCAGCCTCCTCCTGCTCCAGCCTTGCACCCTGCACACGGCAGACCTAAAGCACAAACCTCTCCCTCTCCTGCTCAAATCCCTTCCATGGCTCCCCAGCGCTTAACGAGACCCTAAGGCCCTGCCAGTCTGCACGCCCTACTCCAGCGACCTCTTCATGTTCATTTGCTGCCTCAGGTGGAAAATCCAGCCAGACAACACCACCATGGGGGCAGGCGGCCTTCTTTGGCGTCACTGCCTCCGCTCCACGGGAGGGGCAGTAATTACACGCTAATAACCCCCTATAGTCATATCCTTGGCCTGGGGTTTTTGCCCTGGCTCTTCCTACACCCGGGTCATGCACTTCCCCCAGGCAACCGCGGCCGCACCTCCTTCGGGTCTTTGCACCTCCTCCGTCTCTACAAAAAACACAAAAAGTAGCGAGGCTTGGTGGCGCATGCCTGTGGTCCCAGCTACTCCAGAGGGAGGCTGAAGTGGGAGGATCGCTTGAGAACTGCAGCAGTTCGAGGCTGCAGTGAGCCGTGATCGCGCCACACTTGTCATCTTCTCAGTGAGGGCTTCCCAGGCCGCCCCGTTTATGACGACTGTAAACCCTCTCCTGTCCCGGTCCTCCTCGGGCCCCTGCTTGCCGGACTTTTGTTTCAGGTCTCATCCCCTAATGCATGGATTTCGTCCTCATCTAGGGAGCATAACCTCAACCTCCCCACCGCATGCTCCCTGCGGGAGGGTCCTGTTTCCTACACCTAGAACAGGGCCTGGGACGCACCTGCCCTGGATAAATCTCATGGACTGCGCGGATGGCGCTGCGGGCTCCTCCCGGACTGTCGCCTTCTCTCCCAGGAGGGGGCAGCCGCGCTCCGCTCCACCCGCCGCCAGAGGCTCCACGAGCGGGACAGACCGGCTGCTGCCGCCTGTGCTGGTCTCTGTGCGCCGGGACCCTTCCCTGCCGGACCTCAAGGCCTTTACGCGGCTGCTTCTTCGACCGCAAACGCTCCTCCCCATCCCCTCGGGAACACTCCCTCCAGGAATGAGGGAATGAAAACAATATTTCTTTCCAGCACATTCCCCACCAGGCGTGTCTGGGGTCTGACTCCCCCAGTCCACGTGGTTCATTCCGACCGTCAGTCATTCAACAAGGAACAGCAGCCGCCTCGTGCCAGGCACGGTGCTGGGGCTGTGGACACGAACGGGACAGGCCAAGACACACTTTCTCCCTACGGAGCTGACCCTGAGCCGCTCTGCGGCGCCTCTCCCCGCCACGCCCACCTGCTCCCATGCCGCATAGGTCCCCACAGTCACAGCTCAAGGTCCTCTGCAGGGGCTGCGAGACCACGGGGCGCTGGGGGCAGTTGGAAAGCAGGAGGAAAGGGACGCCATTTGGGGTAATGTTAGGGCTGCAGTGGCAGCAGCAGCTGGCGGTCACTGCGGTGAACCAGGGGCTCCCGGGTCCCGCCTCAAGCAAGCCGGCCCCGTGCGTGGAACTTGGCAGTCCTACCCCCGGACTCTGACCAGCAGCATTTCCCACGTGGCTCCTCCAGCCCTCGGGAGGGAGCAGCTCCCTGCATTGCTAATATTGGGACAAACCGACCTCCCTGTTTTTGCACTTCCTGATTGCAATACCCCAGTCACCAATTTCCTCTATTAACCTCCCTGACAAGTACAGTCGGTGTGCTACTGAGAAACAAATGAGTGTGCCGGGAGCAGTCACAGTTCTGAAAAATAAAGGGAGGAAGTGCAGAAAGGGTTACTTTTTTTTTTTTTTTTTTTTTTTTTTTTTTTGAGACGGAGTCTTGCTCTGTCACCCAGGCTGGAGCATAGCGGCCCAATCTTGGCTCACTGCAACTTCTGCCTCCCAGGTTCAAGCGATTCTTCTGCCTCAGCCTCCCAAGTAGCTGGGATTACAGGTGTGTACCACCACATCAGACTAATTTTTGTATTTTTAGTAGAGACAAGGTTTCACCATCTTGGCCAGGCTGGTCTTGAATTCCTGACCTCATGATCCACCCACCTCGGCCTCCCAAAGTGCTGGGATTACAGGTGTGAGCCACCGTGCCTGGCCTGCCAGAAAGAGTTACATTTTTATAGGTGGTCAGGGAAGCCCTCCCTGGGAATGTGACATTTGAAGAAAGGTCTGAATGTCTCGAAGGTGGGAGTCACGCCTATAGCCCGAGGAAAGGCACTCCAGGCTGCAGGAAGAGCAGTGCAAAGGCCCTGAGGCAGGAATATGCCTGGTGTGCCCTGGAGACCTGGGTGGCTGAAGCCACAGGAGACACAGAGAGGGCAGTGGGAAACGAGGCAGAGGGTGAGATGGGGGTAGAGTGTGTAGACCTGAGCTGTGCAGGAGAGCTGTGTGCAATGGTGGCAATGTCCCGCACCAGCGCTGTACAATGTGGTAGCCACTGGTCACGTGTGGCTCTTGAGCACTTGTGACGTGGCTGGGAAGACTGAGGACATGCATGTGTAATTTTATTTAATCTTAATTACATTTAAATCCAATTTGCCCCGTGTGATTACCTAGTTGAACAAAGCATGGTTTTTTTTTGTTTTTTTGTTTTTTGAAATGGAGTGTCGCTCTGTTGCCCAGGCTGGAGTGCAGTGGCCGGATCTCAGCTCACTGCAAGCTCCGCCTCCCGGGTTTATGCCATTCTTCCGCCTCAGCCTCCCGAGTAGCTGGGACTACAGGCGCCCGCCACCTCGCCGGGCTAGATTTTTGTATTTTTTAGTAGAGACGGGGTTTCATCGTGTTAGCCAGGATGGTCTCAATCTCCTGACCTCGTGATCCGCCCGTCTCGGCCTCCCAAAGTGCTGGGATTACAGGTTTGAGCCACCGCGCCCGGCCCAAAGCATGTTGTTGAACAGACCCCAGTTGAACAGACCCCCAGGTGTGACTTCTGAGAGGACTCCTCTGGTAGCCATGTGTGGTGGAGGGGGACACGGGATGGAGGGAGGCAGAAAACTCAGGTAGGATGGAAGGCTGAGGCTGAGGTCCAGGGCGCAGGCTAGGGGTGGAGGCTGGGGGGTGGGTACATGCAGCTGTGGCCTCGCAGAGTGTATCTGGGTGGAAGCTATGGTGGCGATTGGCTGGGCAGGGTCTCCATGGATGTCCAGGGGCTTCTGAGCTGAGGCTGAGGCCTGAGGCTGGAAGTGGAGAGGTGTCAAGGGTGGGAGTGGAAGCTGGCTCAGATCTGCAAGGGGTGAAATGCTGCTGCTGGGTAGGGAGAGTCAGGCAGGGAGCCTGAAGCGGCAAAGGACAGTGTATGTAAACTAGTGACAGGACAGTTCCCAGGTGTTCTGGGCAAACCACAGTCAAGACCGTGGACATCTGTGGCCCACGCTCCCACATTCCCCCTGTCCCATCGCCCAGAGCACAGAGAGAGCACAGTGCTGAATTTCACTTTACTGGATGATCCAGGTGACACAGTGCACAGGGACAGAAGTTTAGGACCGCTACGGGAGAAGCACACCTGGGGCCCTCTCCACCCACAGGCAACACCACAGGCTGCTGTGCCCAGCTCTAGGCGCACCTGGCCTGGTCCTCAGTGGGTGGGTCGCCATCCAGGAACAGCCTCCAAGCAGGGAGGAGCACCCACGCCCTGCAGCAGGTCTCAGACAGCATCTGCATCTGGGTGTCCCTGACATGGGACTGGGACAGTCTGGTCCGGGCTCTGAGGTCACACCCAGGCCCCCCATTCCTTCCCAGGGACAAGCAGGGCAGGGCCCCCTGGCACGATGGGCTCCTCACTGCCAAGGGATAGAAATTGGGACGAGGAAACACACACATTACCCTAGGGACAAGAAGGCATGAACGAATGTGGGGTCCCGTGGAGACTGGTATTTAGGGAAAAATCAAGCTCAGCAGGGGTTGGGGGAGCTGAAGCATACGGTACAGGACAGCACGGCGCGGACTCACACACAACTCAAGCTTGCTTGGGACAGCAGGTGGTGAAGCCTCACAGCACTGGCCGCCTACTCTGGAAGCTCCAGGGAAGGGCTGGGGTTTCCTCCCCAGGTCATTTCATCCCCTGTAAGGAGGGACACGTGGCCGGCTTCTGCACTGCCCAGGCGAGCCTCTGTCTCTCACAGTGCCCTTCAGAGGCCCCTCTGGCTTTAATTCACTCAGGGGGTGAACCCAGGCATTTTCAAGGCCTTTAGTAAGTGCTGCAAGGCCAGTGCTGAGCGATGGGCCAGCTCCAGAGGATAGAGAGGAACAGGGGAGCCACAACCTATGGGAGGGGGCAAGGGCCCACGCAGCCCAGAAGAGCCAAAACTCTGGATTTTATGTGAATTACCCCAAATGGAACACCTCCACAAATAATTAGAATGTTGGGAAACACTGCAGTTTGAGTGACAAATTCAACTTGTGGTCGGGGCAGGTGGCCTTGGCCTGGAGCTGGTTCCTGTGTATCAGGGGCTTCCCGGTGGGTAGGGCTGGCATGCGTCTTCCCTCTGCTCTTCCTCCTCCCACTCCTCCTCCTCCTTCCCTTCCCCTACCGTTCCTCTCCCCTTTCCTCCTCCTCCCCTTCCCAACCGCCTTCTCTCTCTCAGCCTGTCCTTTCTGGAATCATCTCTTTCCCTGGCTGGGAGCTGGGGCCTCCCCTCGCTGAGAGTTGCGCCCTGACACGCGCTGCGCAGCTGGTGACCGAGCCTCCACCACAGACCCAGGGCAGAGTCAGACTGGGGTAGGGGCGACAGCGGCCGACAGTCCCTGCCAGGCGCAGGCCCCGAGAGCGAGAGCGCCACGAAGAGCCCTGCTCGCCTCTGCAGGTGCCTGGCGTCCACACACACACCCTGCGGGGGCGACTCGGGCCCCCCAACCCTGGTCCACTCAGCGCGTCCCCATCTCGGCCCTGGGCTGCTGCCTCAGGCGCCCACTTCTCCTTCCTCCTCCCATCCGTGCTTCCTCCGTCGGGATCGCTGGCGCTCCGAGCCCACTAGGGCCCAAGAGGGAAACGTGACGCCGGCAAAACGCGGCCCGGGCGTGCGGTGAAGCGAGGAGATCGCGTCTGCGGAGGGCAGGAAAAGGGAAGGGGAGGGCGGGGGCCACACTCGGGCAGGCGCCCTGCGGGCCCTGCTCGCAGCCTGGGCGGCTTCCTGGGGGGCCACTAGCGGCATTTGGGGGGCAGCCTCCGGCCCCGACGGGCCTTCTTCCCGCGTGCGGCCTTGGATCCAGTGGGCGCCTGGCCCTTGGCCTCGCCTGCCCTGGCATTGGCCCCGGCGCCCGCGCTCCCCTTCTTCTTCCGGCTTCCCGCGGCGTCGTCCTGGGCCGAGCCCCGGCTCCCGGCTTTCTTCTCGGGAGTGACGCCCCGGCCTCGGCCTCGGCCGCCCCCGCGGGTTTTGCGGGCCCCGGACGCGGTGGGGGGCGCGCCGGCCGGAGTCAGGCCCCTGGGGGCGGTGCGCGCCCTCTTGGCCCGGGGCTTCCTGGACGCCCTGTCCTCGGGCTCCGACGCCTCGCTCTCGGTGTCCTCCAACTCCTCCTCGGACTGTTCGTCCGAAGCCTCCTCTGACCCCTCGTTGGACCCCATGTTCTCCCGGGCGGCCAGGAGCGCCAATACCTCCCCCAGTTTGCCTTTGGGGTATTTGTACTTCCCGCCTTCCCAGGCGTTTTCTTTTTCCTCCTTCATCACCTCCGCCATGTCCTGGGCAGCCAGGAGCGCCACCAGCTCCAGAAGGCCCCCCTCGTCCTCACCGTGCTCGCTCCAGCCCCCGAAGAGGCCACACCCAGCCTTCTTCGCCTGGGGAGGGAGATCTGGCTGCGCCAAGGTGGAAATGCACTCCCGGAGGTCCCCGTCGTCCCCGGCCTTGCGCAGGACCACGGCGTCCACCTCGCGGCCCGCCTCCTCCACCTTCACGCGGGTCCCGTTAGTGTCCTTGGACATAACGGACAAGACCTGTTGGAGGGCGTCTCGCTTGTCTTTCTCGTCGCTCCAGCCTAGAGACTCGATAACAGAAGCGATTTTCAACATCTCCTCCCGGGCCCAGGGATCCGACGGGTCGGTATAGGCCACAATGGCCACGAACTCAGGATTATCCAACCCCTCTGTTTCTTGGTCCTCACTTTCCTGCGAGTCGCTCTCCGAAGCGTCGCTGTCCACCGGCTCCTCGTCCGGGGTGTCTCTCACAGCCAGCAGGGCCACTAAGTCGGGGACGCCATTTTTGTCTTCTTTGGTGTTCAAGCGGATGGATTCGGCCCCAGCTGGCTCCTTCTCTGCCTCTTCTTTCTTCGCTTTGTCGGTGACAGTGACCAGAGCCAAGAACTCGCGGGGACCATCTTCCCCCTCCGAGCTGCAGGGCGCCCACTGCCTAACCAGCTCCCTGGCAGCCGCCTGGAGCGTGGCGTACAGCGCACTCTGGTCCTCGTCTCCGCTCAGGTCCCCCTGGTCGATCTCCTCGATCACGATGCCCAGGCTCTCATCGGAAGAGTCCTCAGCCTCACTCCTCGCGGAAGCAGACGGCCGCCCTCCTCGGCTTCTCTTCTTGCCCTTCTGGGTCAACCTGTTGCGTCTGGTTCTGTTTCTACGACCCCGACGGCCCCTCCTTGCGTTCCTGGCTGCCCCAAGAGGCGAGCCAGCCTGCCCTGTCACCTCCCCAGAATCCTGGGCCTGGGTCTCCGAAGCTGGAGGGGTGGGCCCCTCCCCGGGGGCCCCAGCCTCCGCGGCCTGCGTGGGTCCGTCATCCAGCAGCAGGCGTCTCATCTGCCTCAGGACCCTCGTGTCCTGCGCACGGTCCTTCCACAGAACCCTCCAGACCCCGTCCTTGCCTGGGATCTCCCTGGGAATGGCAGCGTGATTGACGTCCTCCACAAACTCCACCAGGGCGGCCTGGGCCTTCTCGTTCATCAAGCCCTTCATGTGTCGCAACCTGAACGTGCCCAGGGGCAGGAGGGTTGGCTGCAGGACGGCTTCAACGTCTGCCTGCTCCAGGCCCTCCGGGATGCCGGTGACCAGCAGGGCCCTATGCGCGTCCACGTCCAGACTCCGGCACCAGTCCTGCAAAATGCTCATGGCCATGGTGCCGCCCCCTCGGCGCTGATCTTGGAGCAGCAGGGAGCCCGAGATAGGGGTGGGCTGCAGCGCACGGTGTCAATGCAACCCTGGCAAGCCACCCGCAGGGCTTAGAGTCCCGGTTCCGGTGAATGTGGCAAGGCTGGAGTGGGGCTCGGGCCTCGGGGGTTCTAGCTACCTGCTGGCCGGCTGGACGCAGTGACCCTCCCCCGGGACCCCTCTCCAGAGCTGTCTGAGGATCCGCAGGGGGCTTACGTGTCTGCTTTCCAGGGCAGCTCCCTCCCTCTCTGACAGAGGCCTGAGTGACTCGGCACCGCGACCAGGTGCAGGGGGGCGGCGCCGAGTGCACCTGGAGGGGCGTGGGAGGTGGGAGCCGCCGCTTGCCTGGCGCTCGCGCGGCGTCTGAGCGCGCACCCTGGGCCTGAATCTCAGCAGTTCCGCTGCGACGCGGCTGCTCCGGCCTGCGCCTGCGCAGACGGAGCCGCACGCCCTCCCCTGTCCCCCGCCCAACCGTCTCCATGGCAACGGTGCAGCCTTGAGCTGGGGTCTGCGTCGCTGTGGCCTGAGACGCTTCTCTTAAAGGTCCCGATAAGAAGGACTTGGGGCCTGGAAGCACCACTTTCATTAACCAGCAAAAAACGCCGAAACCACAGAGGGCCAGAAATCATTCGAGGAGACCCGACCTCATTCAGGGGATATGAAGCCTCCTTCCAGGGGGTACAGGTTTCACTGGGGGTTACAATTCCCCCTTCCAGTGGCCAGGTGGAATTCAGGATTATATAGGCCTAAATCAAGGGGCACTGGCCTTGTAGCGTGGGACCACGACTTACTCGGGATACTGGCCTCATTCACAGTATACGGGTCTCAGTATCAAATGGGGGACCCAGGCGCCATCTGTGAGCAAGACACCATTCAGGGTATATGGGCCTCACTTGCAGGGTACAGGCCCCACTCAATGGCACCCGCCCTCACTCCTACACACGTTCCTGTATTCTGAACTATGCATGCACAATAAATCCTGTGGTTTTGCACACGCTTTGAGCATATGCATGATCGTTAGACCTGCCATGAATTTTGCAAGAAAGCATTTCCCTTGACAGGGACAGCAGACTGGGGCCTGTGAACGTCAGTCATAGCTACTGTAAACATGCATTTGCTTCTCTGTCCCTTGTTGGCCATGAGGCTGTCCCCTACTCTATATGAATCTGGCTCTGTAGCCCAGCTGGTAGGTTTATATCTCAACCATCGTCCCTACCTCAAAGGGTTTTTTTGTTTTGTTTTTGTGGTGTTTTGTTTTGTTTTGTTTTGTTTTTGAGATGGAGTCTTGCTCTATCATCCAGGCTGGAGTGCAATGGCACAATCATGGTTCACTTCAACTTCCACCTCCCAGGTTCAAGCGATTCTCCTGCCTCAGCCTCCTAAGTAGCAAGGATGACAGGCCTCCCAAGTAGCTGGGATTACAAGCATACACCATCACATCTGGCAAATGTTTGTATTTTTTGTAGAGATAAGTTTTCACCATGTTGTCCAGGCTGGTCTCAAACTCCTAACCTCAAGTGATCCGCCCACCTCAGCCTCTGAAAGTGCTGGGATTACAGGATTACATGGTGAGCCACCATGCCCGGCCTCAAAGGGTTCTCATGAGGATTAAAGGGAATAATCCAGGAAAGCATTTGGAAGAGAGGCTGGCCCACAGCTAGTGCTCCATGAAAGATGGCTAAGACAAGTATTTATTGAGAACTTACCATTATAAAAGCATCTGTTCTGTTGGTTTGTTTTTGAGATGGAGTCTTGCTCTGTCACCCAGGCTGGAGTGCAATGGAGCAATCTCGGCTCACTGCAACCTCCACCACCCAGGTTCAAGTCATTCTCCTGCCTCAGCCTCCCGAGTAGCTGGGACTACAGGCATGTACCATCATGCCCGGCTAGTTTTGTTTTTTGTTTGTTTGTTTGTTTTGAGACAGAGTCTCGCACTGTCACCCAGGGTGGAGTGCAGTGGCGTGATCTTGGCTCACTGCAACCTCTGCCTCCTGGCTTCAAGCCATTCTCCAGCCTCAGCTGGGATTACAGGTGACCACCACCACGCCCAGCTAATTTTTTGTATTTTTAGTAGAGACAGGGTTTCGCTATGTTGGGCAAGCTGGTCTCAAACTCCTGACCTCGTAATCCGCCCACCTCAGCCTCCCACAGTGCTGGGATTACAGGTGTGAGCCACTGTGCTCAGCCTAGTTTTGTATTTTTAGTAGACGAGTTTTCACCATGTTGGCCAGGCTGGTCTCGAACTCCTGACCTCAGGTGATCCGCCAGCATCGGCCTCCCAAAGCGCTGGGATTACAGGCATGAGCCACCGTGCTCAGCCCAAAGCATCTGTTAATAAACAAATAAATAGGAAACCAAAACACCTCGTTTTTTTTTTTTTTGCCACCAGACCCACCCCCCTACTGTTGTGTTTGGATTTTTTTACGTTTAAGGACAGTTTAATTGCAAGGTTACCATGGCAACTGGGCAAACTGCTTACTCACTCCCATTTTCCACCACTTGTTCCTCCTCTGATCTTCCTGATCCACAGATGGATGTGATGTGACTGTTGTCTCCGGAGCAGCATTGTTCAGCAGGAATGGAAAGCCAGCCCCAAATTCGAACTGCATGTGTAATGTTAAAATTTCTAATTGCGGCCAGCCAGCACTGACCTCAGGTGATCCACCCACCTCAGCCTCCCAAAGTGCTGGGATTACAGGCGTGGGCCATCATGCCCAGCCCAAAGTGTCATTTTTGACATGTGAATCTCCAATCTAGGCTGGGCATGGTAGCGCATGCCTGTAATCCCGGCTACTTGGGAGGCTGAGGCAGGAGAATCACATGAACCTGGGAGGCAGAGGTTGCAGCGAGCTGAGATTGTGCCACTGTGCTCCAGCCCTGGGAGACAGAGGGAGACGCTGTCTCAAAAAAAAAAAAAAAAAAATTCGAGTTGCTTTTTCTACATCTATTGATAGAAAAAAAGAAAGAAAGAAAGAAAGAGAAAAGAAAAGAAAAGAAAGAAAAAAAGAAAGAAAGAAAGAAAGAAAGAAAGAAAGAAAGAAAGAAAGAAAGAGAGAAAGAGAAAAAGAGAAAGAAAGAAAAACAGTTTCCTAGGGGGCTATCTTCAATAAATAAAAAAGAAGCAAGAAAAGTGAATTTTAAGAATGGATTTTGGCTGGGCACAGTGGCTCACTCCTGTAATCCCAGCACTTTGGGAAGCCGAGGCAGGTGGATCTCTTGAGCCCAGGAGTTTGAGACCAGCCTGGCCAACATGGCAAAACCTCATCTCTACAAAAATACAAAACTTAGCCAGGCTTAGTGACACACATCTGTAGTCCCCGATACTCAGGAAGCTGAGGTAAGTGGATCGCTTCAGCCCAGGAGATCAAGGCTGAAGTGAGTGATGATCATGCTACACTGCACTGCAGCTTGGGCAAGAGGGTGACCCTGTCTCAAAAAAAAAAAAAAAAAAAAAAAAAAGAAAAAAAAGGAAAAGGAAAAGGGAAAAAGGAAAAGAAAAGGAAGAGTATATCTTATTTATCCCAAAATATACAAAGTGTTGTCATTTGCATAGTCGTCAATATAAAACAATTATTAATGAGCTATCAGACACTCTCTTTTCATAACGAGTCCCTTTGGAGTAGCCGTATTTCAAGGGCTCGGCAGTCACACAGGGCCATCAGGAATTTGTTTGCAAGAATTAATCAGGGAGAGTGTGTGCGCGCGCGCGTGTGTGCGTGTGTGTGAATACACTCAGCACAACCGTTATCTATAACTGCAAGATTGGAAAACACAACAAAAAGAGAAACGGGAAGCTTGCACTTTTCGTGTGTGTGTGTGTGTGTCTGTCTCTGTGTGCATTTTAGAGTCAGAGCCTTGCTCTGTCACCCAGGCTAGAGTTCAGTGGCATGACCATGGCTCACTGCAGTCTTGAACTCCTGGCTTCAAGCACTCCTCCCACCTCAGCCTCCAGAGTAGCTGGAACTACAGCACACCACCACGCCTGGCTAATTTTATTTTTCGTAGAGATGGGGTCTTGCTATGTTGCCCAGGCTGGCCTCAAACTCCTGGGCTCAAGTGATCCTCCTTCCTTGGCCTCCCAAAGTGCAGGGACTGCAGGCGTGAGCCATCATGCACGACGAAGCTGACACTTATTCTAAGTCGTTGTGGATAACCACGGGTGAAATTCTTGTAAAAATGAAGATTCATATACCCACCCATTTAAAGTGTACAACTCAATGGCTGTTAGTTCATTCACAGAGTTGTGTGACCAACACCACGACTGATTTTAAAACATTTTCATCACCTCAAAAAGAAATCCCACACTGCTTAGCCATCACCCTCCAACCCTCTAATTTCCCCCAGCCCCTGGCAACCACTAATCTGCTTTCTGTCTCTATGGACTTCCCCATTCTGGACATTTCATGTCAATGGAGTCATACAATATGTGGTCCTTTGTATCCGGCTTGTTTCACTCAGCATCCTGTGTTCAGTGTTGTGTGGCATGTGTCATCCAATGCTCTGTTTCATTTATTTAGAGACAGAGTCTCACTCTGTCACCCAGGCTGGAGTGCAGTGGCACAATCTCAGCTCACTGCAACCTCCACCTCCTGAGTTCAAGGAGTTCTCCGAGTTCTCCTATACACCATCACATCTGGCAAATGTTTGTATTTTTTGTAGAGATAAGTTTTCACCATGTTGTCCAGGCTGGTCTCAAACTCCTAACCTCAAGTGATCCGCCCACCTCAGCCTCTGAAAGTGCTGGGATTACAGGATTACATGGTGAGCCACCATGCCCGGCCTCAAAGGGTTCTCATGAGGATTAAAGGGAATAATCCAGGAAAGCATTTGGAAGAGAGGCTGGCCCACAGCTAGTGCTCCATGAAAGATGGCTAAGACAAGTATTTATTGAGAACTTACCATTATAAAAGCATCTGTTCTGTTGGTTTTTTTTTGAGATGGAGTCTTGCTCTGTCACCCAGGCTGGAGTGCAGTGGCCGGATCTCGGTTCACTGCAAGCTCTGCCTCCCAGGTTCACGCCATTCTCCTGCCTCAGCCTCCCGCCTGTATTCTTTTTTATGGCTGAGCAATGTTTCATAGAATGGATACATTTTATTTATCCATTCATCAGTTGATGGACATTTGGGTTGTTTGCACTTTTTGGCTATCATGAATATGAACATAAAAACATGATGAATATGCTGTGTGCAAATTTCTATGTAGACGTATGTTTTCATTTCTTTTGGGTAGACATGTTTAGGAGAGGAATCCCGGGGCATATGGTAATTCTTTTTTTTTTTTTTTTTTT